ATAACCCTGAATTCCATTTTTTCCTAGAATAAATAGAATTTTACTCAGATTGTGGTTACATTTGCTATATGAGTAGAAACAATTGGTTCGACCAAGCCAATCAGGCAACAATAATAATAAAATAATAAGAACAACTAATTTACTATGTACTTAATATGTAACAGTCAGTGTTCTAAGCCTTTTCTGTGTATGAATTCATTTTATTTTTACAACAGAGCTTTGAGACAGGTACTGTCATTACTGCCATTAGTTTGATTCCAGTGTGTATATATTTTAATTACTCACTAAGACCAAATCTTTCCTGCTCAAAAACTATGTCAACAATTCACCAACGTCCATTTTCAAACAGTCCTTCATCCCCCTCAGCAAGACACACACAGATAACAGACTGTCTGTACAGCCACACAAGTTCGATAAATGCATCCCGACTAATATGTTCGTTTTTAATGCTGTTCAAACATTCACATGGAAACAGCTCTAGCGTAAATATCCCCGAACAAATGGCTGTATATTATCCAGGAGGGAGCAGTTGGACCGCCAGACTGGGAAAGCACTAGGCCATCTGGCTCCGGCAATCTCTCCAAAACCATCAGCTTTGTTTTTACCCCCAGACTCCAAACAACACATTTTCCACTGTGATGAGTTTACATTTTCCCAAACACAGGTCCTGATCATGCATAAAAATTCCAAACTTCTTCATTCCTCTATGTGCAAGGAAATTTAAATCACCTGCATTTTTGACATGCTACCAAAGGAGACAGAAAGCTGCTGAAATACAGCCCCTGACTATAAACTTGTTCTAGCCTTTGTTTGTTTGTTTGTTTCTCTGAATATATGAAAGAATCTCTTTGCTGGCTTGGTAAATTCCTTAGGAACTCAATACACACACACACACACACACACACACACACACAGCTCACAGTTTTGGAGGCTGAAGAAATGGCACCAGGTCCTTCGTTTTCATCGTTCAACTCAATGTCTCCACCCTTGTCTCCTCCAACTCCTCAAGCCGGCCCTCAGAAGATGCTTTCACTCCACCTTCAAAATACATGTGGAGTCTGATCACTTGTTACCATCCCTCAGCCACTGCCCTGGCCAAGTCATCCCTCACGAAACACTAGAATGGTTTCCCACCCCATCTCCCCATCCCCTTTCCCACCTCAGTCTTTCCTCCCCTTTCCACCTCCCTCCCTCCTATAAACTGAAAAGGTTGTTAATCAAATCTATGTAGCCCTAGTGGAATATAATGAAACAATCAATAGGAAAAAACAATACACTTGCATCAACAGCTTAAAGTTCTGGGAACATCAAAACAAATATATGAAGAAATCTGTCTACGAGAACAAGCCTGGTAGCATTTTTTAACTTGTACATGGACCCCGGTTGTAGCAGCACCTTTCTAAGGTCCCCTCTCCACATATCCCAACTTTAAACCTATATACGCAAAGATCTGGGTGATTTCTGTCTGCCTTTTTCATAAAGCAAACAACAACAAAAGCTTTTGTTTTGAAGGCAGGGAACATTTTATTCTCGATAACTTTATGAAATGTGGTATCCTGTCTTTGAATACCCCCAGAGAAATTATGATTTTCTTCCAGTGAGATGAGAGGAGAAATGAGCTTGTTTTGTTTCTTTAACTGTTTAAAGATAAACACCTCACTGAAGCAACGATAGTATGCAATCATGTTTGAAAGAGCACATACAAATCTGAGGTGACCTCCCCCAGTGGATGTACAGAAGCCTCTACAGTTGACCCTCTCTGGAGGCAGCAGTCATAAACTTCTGGATCCAAAGGGCTTTTGCATGCTCACTAATAGAATACCAAAAACAGCAATGACACAAAAACAATCTATTTTTAGGCAGCTAAACTTGGTTTTGAACAACCCTTCCCAAAAGTAAGACTTCTATTTTCTAGTTGATGAACAGTTTTAAGTTTATTATACCCTACATGTTCTACAAAGGAGGCAAGAAGAAAAGGGACCCCCAGATCCTTACACATTCTCTCCAAATGGAGTTCCACCTATCCTAGTAGAGTCCAAAATAGTCTAATGAGACACTTTGGGAAGGTGTGAAATACTGTGTCATACCAATACATCTTGGTTGATTGAGTACATTTCTGTTTGATTTCAGTGTAACTAACTACACCCCAAATGAGGAACAATCTCTGAAATTGCAGAAGACACAGCTAGCTTTGCATGTTGCTTACGGGAGACTCCTTTTTAATGTTAACCCAAACTTGTGAGTCAAGGATGTGACATCATACACACAAAGTCATGTCTCTGATATGAAAAATGTTAGAAACAACGAGCAGCCCACAGGAGAGTTCATGGCGGCCAGGTATTCCCTCCACCAACTGCGGGGAATGTTATTAGAGCTCATCACGTGACCAACAGCATTCTATTCTAAATATCAAAATCTGGAATCTCTCAGAAAGCATTTCACAGGGGGCAGTGTTACCACTTAATCAGTCTGCTTCTGTCAGCCACGCTTCTGATGGAAGAAACCACTTAAAATCAAAGTTTTAAGAAATTTAAAATCAGACTAGGCCTTTAATTATCACAGAATAATTTCAAACAGTACGAGGATCCCACTGTTAGACTCATGAAGGCTAAATGTGAATTATGATGCTTCAGGTAGGGAAAGTCAGGCTTCTTTGTGTTTCTGTCTGCTTTTTTGGAGACTGTTGTATTAACTGAGTACACGAGGAGGTAACCTACTTCCCAAACTCTTATAGCGTGTAATCAAAGAACAAGTGACTGGGTAATGAGCAGGGCTTGCCTTTCAAAGTGAGAGCCACAGAAAAGGGGACTACTCAAATAATTATTATGAAAGCAAATAGGTATGTCTTAGCATATCCTTTTGTCTTGATACTTTTTACACCAACTTAGATAATTACTAAGCTCCCCCCCGTCACTACTGACTAGAATTTATAATTGCATATATTTATAATTTAAACTTTTAGTAAACTATAGCAAATGATTTTCTTATATCTATTATTTTTAAAAATAGTCCTCTTTCTCTCTCCCCCTCCCCAATAGAATTTATAATATCAAGTGGTCAAAGAATACCTTCAGCTGTAGTGTCTCTTTTTAAGTTCTATGGCCTTGTCAGTAAAATATTTGATGCATTGCTTCATAAAAATAAAAAAAAATTATTCTCCCACCCTATGAGAGACTATGTTGAGAAAATCAATTCTTTCTGCCACTTTTTATTTAGGGAAAGTGAAAACAGTTTTAAGTAGATTTAAATCAGATAGAAACAATCACTTTGTGCTCCTTAAAATTGTGCATTTTATAGTGCTGCCTACAGTTTAAGTGGTCAATGTGACATGAATACATGGGCCTTATCCATTGATTTGTGTGTGCCTTTTATCTTCTTAAAAATAAACCCTAGTAAACACATATGAAGTGTGTATTGGAGTTCTTTCCCCTTTGCTCCCCTTTTACACCCCTCTCTGAGAAGAATGTCAGGGAAAGGTATCGATGGTGTCGAAAACAATTTTTGAAACCAAAATTCCATTTAATACATTTCTTTGGTTTGATATCCTAAAAGAAAACAAAAGTTGCTGAAATCAAGCTTTTTGTGTGTTTCCGCTCAGAAAAAAAAAAAAAGCTTAAAAAAATTCAGTGTCTAAATGAAAGATAATTATCCTATGTAAAAAACAAATTCCTTCAAAAACTAAGACTGATTAAAAGAATAAATGGGCATTTACTCTGAGCTGTCAACTAAGAAATGAATCTTTAAGAAGGGCAAATATCTTAGGGAAATAACAAGAATTTCACTAGATATTTGTTACTTTTAAATACATATTCTAGATCCTCCTGTTCTCTACTTGAGTCAATAAAACATGAGCAGGTTAGCCAATATTAGCTGTTATTAAATGCTTCTAGCTGAGATTTCCAAACTCCTAACAGTTTAGTAATATCAATTTTGCATAACATAATACTCATGACTGGTCTAAAGCAATTTTTAAATATGTATGCACACCCTAATTCCAAACTTTCTAAACCAATATTTATGAAGGAACATTGCCCTCCCCTTATTTTAAAGGGAATATTTTAAATTAACAGTCATGTAAATACATTTTAACCCTCTTACTAAATTGTTGGTTGGCGTCCAATGGATAACTTTTCTCTTTTGTTCTGATGCTCTCACTTCACTCAATAAGGCTCTTCTTTTTTGCCACTAAGTCATCCAACTACCTAACCAGCTACTTCATCCTGAAGCTATTTTTTTTTCTTAAAATTAAGAAGGGATATTGAAAAAAATAATAATAAGCTCCTGCGCCTCATTAAAATGTCAGACCTTGCCTCTAACTCGGTTCATAATTGTATCTTTCAAAACATAACTCAGCCTTAATGTATACTGCCTGACACCGCGTGTTGGCGAGCTTAAGAAAATGCAGTCCATGTACCTTTAAGACCGCAAGCTTGCTCACGCTGCCTGGCTCCCTGCCAAACTTGGAAGTAAAAGCAAGAGGGTTTTTGCAAAATATCCTCTAACAATTGTCGGCTCCCTCTTCCAACACCTCTCTCCTCTACCACCTCCTTTAAAAAAGAGTTGTCGAGAGTTCATTTGCACTCTCCACCCTGCCCCCCACTCATGGAAGCCAACTTCGCCTCCTACTCCCAGCTCCTCAGCTCTGGGCCTTGGGGAGGCCCAGGCTAGCTTGTGTTTCAGAAGTTCGGTCCACATTGCCCCCAGGATCTCTGGGGCTCCTTGGCCAAGTCAGAGGAAGTTCAGCTCTGGTTCCCTAGCTCAGCACCCCGCGATCTTAATCACCAGGCCTGGGTTTCCCTGGGTGGGAAGGAGCCTCGAGCGCTGCTCCCCACACAGAGGCACAGTCCGTGAGTGCCGGAAACCTGCACAGTCACCGGTGAGCCAGGTCCACTGGTCTTTGAGATGTCCCAGACCTCTCGAGATGAAACAATGAGGTTTTGAATTGCCCTGAATTTTGTGACCCGAGAGTCATCCCCACAGTGTAGAATTAAGAAACTTACTTGTTTTGTCATGGAGTCAATGAGACGCACGTAGAAATCCTGTTCTGTCCTTATCCCTGGGGAGCAGGGGAAGGAAGGAGAATTAAGTGAGAGGGGGTAAACCCTGGAGGAAAAGAATTCCACAATACAAATAACAACCAAAAACAATTACACACACAAAAGGGTCCAAGGCCAAGTGGAACTCCTGCTGTCCAGGCCAGGCAGAGCCTGGATGTCCCCTCCCCCGGTACCCAGAGAGGATCAGTGGGCCCAAGCTCCCTCCAAGTCAAACTCCAAACACTACAGGTAGAAATGAGCGGGGATCCCCGAGCTAGCTGCTCTCCTTACCCAGGCAAGAGTCCCTCTAAAGGCGCCTGGATCCATCAAGACCACCACCACTCCTAGCCCCCCAGAACCCGAGGAGCTTTGGACTGGAGTCCTGGCTGAGCAGAAGGAACAGGCCTCAGAATGGGGTAGAAGCCAAGTGGTCCAGCCAGAAGTGAGGCATCACACCTGGCCTGGATTTTGCCCTGGGCTAATCAAGCCACGCTCGGCCTGCTCAGGTGAAACTTCCTAGAATGAAATTTAGGAGAGGCCTGTTCACCTGGAGGGTGGCTGACGACTGAGCTTCGCTGGGGGGCTTTGGTCCACCTGGAGCTCCGTGAGCCCCCTGCCCTGACCTGGAGCCCTAGGGTGCCGCCCGACGGAAGCCTCACCGTTGCTGTAGAGGAGCTGGAGCCGGTAGTGGATCCCATTATTGGTCTTTTCGCTGTTGGCTTCCTGGTTTGCAGCAGGACGCAAAGACACGAGAGACGTAGGAGAGAGGTCGCTGTGAGCGAGTGGGCCAACTTCGAGACAACTTTTCCCAAGTGGGACCCCCAGCCTGTGAAGCCGGCCAGCCCCGATAGCAACAGAAATTGTGGCAAAATGTTAATCCCTTCTCCACCCTCATCCCAAACTGCTTTCGCTCCCCTTCCAGAAAATTCCGTGAGATGCACACGTGTGATCCTCTTCCCAGGGTCTGGGGACTGCAGCCTGGGCCTTCTGAGGCAGGCGATGCGATGCGGGGACTGGAAGACCAGGGTGGGTTCATCCCAAGCGCCTAAGGCTAGACTGTGAAGTTGATTCACCTCTCTCCCGCTCTGGGGGCTCCATCCTAACTTTTGGGACAAGACTCTGTGGCCCATGAGCCCGCATTCTTCCAGAACGGGAAGTGGCTTCAGTGGGGGACCCCCTCACGAGAGTGTTAGGAATGCTTCGCATTCACTGAGGAGCGCGCCTTCCCTGAAAGGCGCCTGGGCCTGCTCCCTGAGCCCGGGACTACGGGAAACGGCGCTGCGCCCACTTACTTTTTCCTTCTCCACGAACCCCACAAAGGCTGTCCTCTCGATCTCCACCGGCTGACCCTGTCTGTCGTAGAGGGCCAGGACGAAGTGGAAGAAGTTGGATTTCCGCAGATTAGAAGGCGGCTGCTTCTCAAAGTGAGCCCGGGCCAGACCCACCCCGCTGCGGCCAAAGACGCAAAGTTAGATGGCTAAGTCAGACCCTGTCCCACACCCCCATTGTCACCCAGGACACGCGATGGAACCCCCCAACACCCACCTCTTCTGTTCCCAAAACATCCACTGGGCGCCCTCCATGACCCATCAGGAGCCCCCGGTGCAGCTGACAGCACACATGCCCCGCATGTGTCTGTCCACCCCTTCCAAAGACTGAGCGAGTCCTCTGAACTCTCCAGAGGTGTGAAAGTTTTGTTTGGGTTTGTGTCTAGAGATGAAATACTACAAACATTTACTCCGACTTGAAGCGCGCTAAGTGGGGAGGAAGTAAAGTGATGGTGGATGAGGTGAACCGAGGTTAGAAGGAAAAAGCGCAGTATTTCCAACTGGGAAGGATGGGGCAGGGAAACAGGAATCTCCCGTCGCAAGTACGTGGACAGGTGGAAAGCGATGCCGGCAGGCTGCTACGGCAGCCACCTCCAGCAAACCTTTCCAGCCTCGGCCAGCTGCCGGTGCCGAATCTCAGCAAGCCAAATTTCCACCCAAACAGGAGAAGGGTCCCAGTTTGGAGGCTGTTGGGGGTTGATCGCTATGGGGAAATTAACCGGGGTGCTTCCCCCCTGCCCCGGAAAAAAAAGGGCCTGTCTTGACAAAGTTTTGCCCTTCTGAGAAATCACCCTCACACATTTCAAAAACCCAAAGGGCCAGGGCTGCTGGCTGGGCGGGACCTTGAGGGACTGGAGACTGGGGCGCTGGGGCCCGGGCAGAGACAGTCCACCCTGCCCGACACTCGCAGGCAGAAACACACACACACACACACACACACACACACACACACACACACACACTTTCGCTTCCCGCCTTAGTTACCCAGTTCACTCTCACTACCAACCACTCCCAACCTTCTGCTCAGCGGGGATGGGAACAGCGCTGGGGACAGTTGTCTCCAGCTCCCTGGAGCTAGGGGTGATGTAATTCGTCTCCCTTCTCCTTCTGCACCCTCTAAGTCTAATAGGACCTGGGGCCACCAAGTTTCCCATTCACCTAAGCCCGCCTGGTAGCCCGGAATGAAATCGGTACCATTTCTCACTTGGGACCCAGAGCCCCTAGAAAGGGCACTATGTGTGCCCCGGGAAGTTCCTCAGGTCAGCCTCTACCCGCATGGCCTCCAGGCCACAAGATGTAGCATCTGAAGAGGTCGGAGCCGGGGAGGGAGAGGGGCTTGAGGAGGCCACGGTGACAGGGAGTGGGGCAGGCTATCGAGGTGAGAATTGAAGTTAGGACAGGCAGAGAAAAACGAGAGAGAGAGAGAGAGAGAGAGAGAGAGAGAGAGAGAGAGAGCATCAGATAGGAGAAATAAGAGAAGACTCAAGGGAGAAATTGGGAGAGAAAACAGGAGAGACAGAGGAAAGAGAAGTGGGAAGCTTAGAACGGAGGAAAGAAGGGAAGCGCGGGGGTAAGAAGAGAGAAAAGGGAAGGAAAGAAAGGAGTGTGAACTGAGGGAGGAAAGATAGAGGAAGAGAGAGAAAGGAAATAAAGTAGGAAGGAAAGGAGAAATAAGAGAAGACTCAAGGGAGAAATTGGGAGAGAAAACAGGAGAGACAGAGGAAAGAGAAGTGGGAAGCTTAGAACGGAGGAAAGAAGGGAAGCGCGGGGGTAAGAAGAGAGAAAAGGGAAGGAAAGAAAGGAGTGTGAACTGAGGGAGGAAAGATAGAGGAAGAGAGAGAAAGGAAATAAAGTAGGAAGGAAGAAAAAGGAGAAGAAAGAAACGAAAAGAGAGAGAAGGAAAGGAAGCGGAGGGAAGGGAAGAAAAACTAAGAAACGTAGCCATCCAGGAAAGAAAAGAGCGATCGTAAAAGCGCAGCTATCCAACCTCAAGCGGGGGAGACGCCTCTAGTAGGTTTAAACAAAATGAAAACAGTCCCAGAAGAGGCTGGGGAAAGTGCGAGGGAAGCTCCGGCTCCGCGCAGACAGCTCGCAGTTCTCCGGCCACTGCTGACCCGGGCAGCGCAGCCCGGCAGCGTGGAGTCCCGGCTGCGAGCGGAGCGCAGCGGCAGGCGCACTAGCGCGGCCCGGCCCCGGGGCAGCGGCGTCCGCTGCCGCCTCCCGGCTCTCTCGCTGGCCTCTGCCTTCCTCGGCCTCGGTCCCCGCGCGGTACCCACCTCTGCGCCGCTGTATTGGCGTCCAGCACCCCGGCGCCTTGCATCCACGTCCGCACCGCGTTCATACCGCTGCCCAGCGGCTCTTCCTTCATACTGCTTCCACTCCGCTGGATGCTTTCCTGGATCCCAAACATGAAAACAACCTTTTCTTGCGGAAAATCTCCTCCCCCTTGAAAATATTAAAAAAAAAAAAAAAAAAAAAAAGGAAAAAAAAAAAAAAAAAACGCCAACCACAGTTTTTTTTTTTTAGTCGATGAAGTCGCGCTAGAACATCAAGGAGGGCTGAAAAGCAAAATTTTTAAAAATGTAAACCTTCGCTCAAAACTGAGCAATAACACGAGGGAAAAAAGAGAGCGAAAAAAAAGAGGGAAAATCCAACGAAAAGGCCAAAAATAAAAAAATAAAAAGAGATGTATGCTTGGCTGTTGGGGGTTGTTTGGTTGGTTGATTTTGGGTTTGGG